TTATGTATGAGTTTTTGAATTCATTTATAAACTTGTGTTCCATAACTGCCAGATTGGTATTCACTGGGGTATTCATTCTCTTGTAGATACTTCACTACTATCTAGTTGATGATACTGTTGAAATCAGAGAAGTTCATAAGCCTAACGATGGAAGGGATCCATTYCCAGTCTTAATTTGTAGACAGAAACTTGCTAAAAACAGAGACAATGTAGAATGTAAGTACTGTAAATTAATTCTTTTCTTTTTTTAGATTTCCATCTATTTTGAGCTTGAGTACAATCATTCATAATCTGACATTTTTTCATTATTTATTTATCTATTTATTTATTTATCATTTATTCATGTTTTTATTCTTTCTGTTCATTCTTTCTTTCATACAGTCAGTCATTATTTTTCATCCGTCTTTCTTGTCTATATATTAATGGTTATACTCCTTTTGTTCATCCCATTCATTCATTCTTTCATTCTACCTTCATTCAAAAATTCCCATCCATTTGTTCRGTCATTTATTATACATTGCTCATTCAATCATTCATTTCTCTTTTCATCCATTTTTTTCATTCAATTTTCATTCATCCCTTTCTGTTTTCATTCATTTCCTTTAGCATCATTCCCTTCCTGTGTACTGGAGCTCTCAGATCATGAGATCAAGGATTGGTTCACCCCCAGAGATTTGATGGTTGGTCAAACAATTTACTTGCTTGGCAGACGGTTCTTACTGTTCAACTGTGATGAATTCACTAARAACTACTACAGAAACAAGTTTGGAGTCACTGATTTTACTCCAGTTGGGATCTCAGATGAGGAAAGGGAAGCCATYCAGAAGGTAATTTGGATATTGTTATTATATGTAATTGCTACTTTTCTTTTTTTTTTTCATTTTTTCATTCCTTTTAGTTCATTCTCTTTTAACACTGTGTGATAACAATAACATTTGTTTTTCTGCTTTCATAAATTTTCTATCCCATCCCATCCATTTATTCATTTTTTTGTTTATGCTATTTTCCTAATGCATGATAGTAAGACCTCTTTCTGTACTTTCACAAATTCCCTATCCTATCCCATTGATTTTCTATCCCATCCCACTCTTTTATTCATTTCCATTTTTTRTTCCTGCTCTTTTTCTAATGCAYGATAAAAGCACGTCTTTCTGTACTATCACAAATTCCCTATCCTATCCCATTGATGAYGTTCTATCCCATCMCATTCATTTATTCATTCCCATTTTTTGTTCATGCTCTTTACTTAATGCATGATAACAGCATGTCTTTCTGTACTATCATATCCATTTCCYATCCATTTATWTATTTCCTATMTCATCCATTTATTCATTTCCCATCCCATTCATTTATTCATTTCCTATTCTATTATAGGTAACTCCACCTTACAATGGCTTTGGATCACTTGAGGACAGTCTTCAGTCCTGTCTGTCCCTCATTCCACAGCCTCCAAAGAAAGATTTTATCAAAATGTTGGAAAATGACCACAAAGTCCTGAGATATGCGGCAACAATGGTAAGGANAAGATTCCTCAGTTAGAGCGTTCTCGCGCTGGCTATCAACTGATGCCGTGGTGGACATTAATGACCCATGTATTCATCCAAAAACGTCTCACACAAGAAAAATCGTCATCTTATCTTTCTTCAGCTCTTTCAGGTTGCGATAGATGAGGTGACAGTTTCGGCCGCCATTTTGTTCCGGTATGCAAAGTGTCGCAAAATAACAAGGAATGACCGGGAAATCGATGTCAAATAATTCTCGCTGAATTCAAATTCAGAAAGAATTATCAATTGCAAACGTTAGATACCTCAAAAAGGAGTTAACGGGCAAAATTTGAAAGGCGTACTTGATCTAGAGAGCGAGTAAACTCATTTTTAGTTCTCCATACATTTCTTTGTATTTTTCACGCGCGTCACGCACTGATGACCCCGGAAATGATAACGAAATGTATTGAAATTACAAAGAAATGTATGGAGAACTAAAAATGAGTTTACTCGCTCTCTAGATCAAGTACGCCTTTCAAATTTTGCCCGTTAACTCCTTTTTGAGGTATCTAACGTTTGCAATTGATAATTCTTTCTGAATTTGAATTCAGCGAGAATTATTTGACATCGATTTCCCGGTCATTCCTTGTTATTTTGCGACACTTTGCATACCGGAACAAAATGGCGGCCGAAACTGTCACCTCATCTATCGCAACCTGAAAGAGCTGAAGAAAGATAAGATGACGATTTTTCTTGTGTGAGACGTTTTTGGATGAATACATGGGTCATTAATGTCCACCACGGCATCAGTTGATAGCCAGCGCGAGAACGCTCTAACTGAGGAATCTTTTTATCAATTCAGGAAACCGTCAGACCTGAGGACAAAACTCGACGCTTTATTCTCTCGTATCGTCTCGCCGACGACATGCTTACCATCTACGAACCCCCTGTGAGAAATGCAGGCATCATTGGRGGCAAATTCCTCGAACGYACCAAAGCTACAAAACCTGGCTCTTCAGTCGATAACCCAGAATTCTACACGCCAGCGGACTTCCGTATTGGCAGCATYATCGAGATTTTCAAGCACAGATTCAAGATTGTAAACGCTGATGAGTATGTGTTGAACTATCTTGAAGCCCATGCAGAAAGCTATCCTATTGARACGATAAATTCCATCAGAGAAGTCCATGGCCGACCGCCCACTACTACAGCGGATCTTGTGGCATCGGTACCTCAAGGAGATATTGATCCTAGGCCTGTTGGTAATGGCTTGGGCATTAAGACGGAATATCAAAGAAGGTATGTAAGTTACATGTATTTCACCCGGGGGGGAGGGGTGGGGGAAGGGAAGGGAAGGGGCGGAGAAGGAGGACTCCGGAGTAAAAGTACCGGGGATGCTCGTCGGATCTCAGGGGTGAAGATTGGTGATTGGGAATCTTTTAGGAGTGCCAAGTTGGTGTTTCTGGAAAGTTAATTCTTTTTCTACATCTCTTAGGGTTTCGGGAAAAAAAAAACAAGAAAAGAGTGCATCTATATTGATTTTCCTCTGCGTTTTTATCTTTGCAACTGATTTAAGTTAGCAATATTCGTTGTGCAATCTCTTAGGGGTTAAAAATAAGTCAGCCACGCCCTTTTTCAAGACTTCCGGGATCTTTTAGGGGTCTTTTTGAAAATCTGACGAACATCCCCGGTAGTTTTACCCCGGATCCTTACCCGGGTATTTCACAACTTTTTATTTATTACAACGAAGCAATGCATCCGCCATCTTAGATAGATTRTAGGTTTTGGCCGCCATGTTGACCTGTAGGCAAAGTCTCGGAAAATACCAAGGATAAAGTGAGAAATCTATGTTAAATAATTCCCGTTGAATTCCAATTCARAAAGAATCGTTTATTGCCAACGTTAGATGCTACAAAAAGGAGTTAACTAGCWGGTTTTGAAGGACTTATTTGACCTAGGGAGCGATTAAACTCATTTTTAGTTCTCTTTGTATTTTTCACGCGTGACACGCGCTGATGAACCCGGAAATACATTAAAGTGTACCGAGAAGACTACCGAGAACTAAAAAATGACAGGTATATTCAAGATGGCGGCCGCATTGGAAGGTCTATCCAAGATGGCGGCCACTATAAGGTCTATTCAACATGGCGGCCGACCAATTCTAGCAAAATCTTTTAAAATAATGAAATTAAAAAATAGACAAAACAATCTTATGTGTAAAAAACCTAATTTGTTTTCTCTTTTCTGTTTCAGATTTTGAAATGAAGATTTAGAATATAGATAATAAGCCACAAATGTATTTTACTTGCTCGGAATATAGAAGATTTCACTTTCTTGTAAAATATGGTATTATATATATTGTCTCGATCGAATTGTAACAGTTTTTTCACTAAAAAATCGATATTATTGTCATGAAAATATTGTGAGCTGTTTCGCTGTAAATACGAAAACCTTGTTTCTTTTGTCTTGATTTTAATCTTCGGAGRGATTATCTGGAATTTCASGAAGTCTTAATTTGAATTTTTGAAATAAAATTGAAAATGAGACAGTCTCGTTAATGGAATGCACCCAACAAGGCTTCGATTTGATGATTTCTTAGGAGCTTTTAAAAATTACAATTATCAGCACTGCCATTATGGTTTATTGCACAAAATGGCACCTCTGAAAATTGCTATTGCTTTTAGTCTATAATAGCACTCACGATAAAGTCTAGTCAATTCTAGCGTGGTGACATTGCGAGAAGTTGGCATAAAAAATTTATAATTAATATTTAAATCATAGTTTCGTTTTATTACAAAATTAACATTACTTAAATGACCCAACCACTTAAAAAGTTCGCTAAG